TATATGTGTGTGTATATATATATATATATATATATATATATATATATTCCCTTTCATATTCTTTTTCATTATAGGCTATTACAAGGTATTGAATATAGTCTCAACATTTCTTGAAAGTCTAAGAGATACAGAGAAGTAGGAGATGTATTATGCATTGAGAGAGACATGTTTCCAACAAAGTCCTTTATGGTGGATAGGAACACCCCTAAATCGTCTATAACACAGAAAAGTCTTATGGTAAGAAGGAAGGAAATGAACAGATTGAGAGGCCTTGAACAAACCACATTGTTGATTTCTCCTTCAAACAATCCTCTTGACTTTTAAGAAAAAGTTCTTACTACCTTCCTAAAATACAAGAGAGATTAACCTAAGAGTGTGATTTATTCACATACTTTAAAATAGAAGAAGTTTTTCAAAGACGAAATTTAGAGTCTTTTCTATGTTGACAACATACATGTGAAATCTACACTTAAAGCCTGATGGTATCGAGGAACATTCATTCCGACCCACCCTATGCCGCTGTGTGACTATGAGCAAGTGATTGGGCTTCAGTTTCAACTGCAAAGTGAAGAGAATGTACTAGATGAGTCATTTGTTCTTCTTTTTTTTAATGATTCATTTTTCCAGTGACTGATTAATTTTTCACTGTGTTCCAGGTAGTGTGTGGGGTGTTTAGGCTACAACCACGTGGTCCCTATGAGCTCTAAATTTCAACGATTCCCTTAACAAATTCCACGAAGTGTGATCAGAATAGGCTTGCCTTTTACACCAACACTTCCTTCTATTTTGAAACTGTAACAAAAGGGGAAAATCCTACAATGGACCTTTTGTAAGAATTTAACTTCCTATAAAATTTACAAGATTGTATAATGACAAATGCCAATGGAAGCATTTTCCAGGAACTGTAGAAAAATATAATAAAGCGCAAATCCATTTTTAAGTAGGGAAGCAATTTGCAATTAACTGGAGAACATTTTATTCTTAATTCTCTTCCTCTCAACTCTACCTCGGCAGCTAATCAACATATTTATTGAATATCTGCAGTTTGTACAATAGCGTGCTGTATGCTATGAAAAGTTCACGGAAGTGGAAAATACTGACTCTCTCTTCAAGAAGTGTTTTTACCTCGGAGAAACAAGATGCAGAGTATATGACTAACTTTAAAAAATGTGCAATATACATCGGCTGAGAAGGGTTCCTTCAAGACAATTGTCTGAGAGGTTGTACATTTATTCTGATGTCAACTCATTGCTCAAAACACTCTGGGGACTGTTTTTTCAGAACTGATTTAGATCTTGCCATACATCTTTTCACTGTTTCATTAGTGGCAGATCTTTATTTTTGAGGGATGTTTTTTGTTTGTAGACACAGCCAGAAGTCATCTGGAGCCAAGAAATTCTTACATGACTACGGAAGGAGGGAGCATTGTTAGTATTTGCCGTAGTAATGGTAGAAATAGTAATAGCAAAGCGTGGTATTTATTATGTGCCAGGCACTGTTCTAAGCACTCTAGCTATCTAATTCCTCGAGAACAATTCTAGGAGCAAAGTAGTACTATAACCATCATTTTATGGTTGAAGACACTGAAGCACAGAAAGGCCAGTGAACTTACCAGGGATGCAAAAGAAAAGAAGCGTCCTCTTACTTCAAATTTATGGTAGGGGGAGGGGAACACTTCCTGTTTGTGTTTGTGATAAGATCTGAAGGCGGTTCCCAAGCAGAACACCCCCTCCTCTCAAAACTCTTCTAAAAACTTGAAGCAACGTTGGAATAAGTGTTTAATCTCCTTTTTTTTTTAAAGGCAATTCTCATTAGCATAAAAAGAATTCCATCTAATCTTAAAAAGCGGTCTTGCTATAAAGTGTTAAAACATAAAGTGAGGCAATTTTTTTTAAAAGTTTAGGAGTTTTATTTGAACAAGAATCAGTTCCCATCTGGCAGCATCAACTTGGAAGTGGTGAGGAGCACTCCACAGACAGGTAGCTCAGGGAGAGACTTTCCCAGAGAAAAGGCAGAGCAGAGCAAGCCGACTATTGACTGGCTACAGTTACAGCTTACGTGGCTGCTCGCAATGGATTGCCCTTAGGTTTCGATTTCGAAGACTTGAGGCATCTACCAGCTTAAATTTTGGTTTGTTTATATCTGGCATTAAAGACACTTCAGTCTAATTTCCTCCTTGTTTAATTAATTTAATAATTGGTAGATCTTAAATGCACAGCATAATGAACAGCCGTGATTTGGTAAATGTCAAATGGGTGGCTTGACTAAGAAATGCCCCAGATGAGGAAGCAGTGACTGCTAAAGGAGAAACAAAGGTGGTCATGAGAAAAGCCATAAAGGAAGTGACCTTGGCATTGTAAAAACTTACTGCCAAGACACCCCGGTAAGACCAGGCGTTCTCTTCTAATCGGTTTACCTAACCACATAGTTATAATTTCCTTATTTACTTGTGATGATTTAGGGGAAAGATTACAAGCCCAAGTCTTGACTGCGTGGCATTTTGTACAGAGTCTGTATACAAACTCTTGTAATTCTGAAAAAGAAATTAAATTAATATATCAGGCATGGTTCTCTTACCTCTGAGTACAGATATTATTCACTCTGTTTATTATGCTTTCTTTTAGCTCTATAAGCTTAGGTCTCAAATGACACTGTTGGGTAGGTTAACAGTTAACACAATTTTAATAGTCTTGGAAAAAATCAATGTCGGCAACCATTCACAAACAGTCCTTTTTTAATTCACCTGGAACAAAGTCACCGAGCAGAGAGAACAATGAAGTCCCCTAGCCAAATTAGGGGGTTTTCTCTTTCCCTTTCTTTTTTATTTT